GATCTAGCGATGGATTCCCTTCTTCACATTTTGCTTCTGAGTTATCAAAATGGGAAGATCATGCAGAATTATGCCAGATTCTAATGAATTCAGTGTCTGCTTTTCTACCACAGATTAATCTGTGTTAACAAAACTCAACTGTTAACATGCTATTCCCCCCCCAAAACCCCACAAGATAGCGAGTCTATGCCATACTCTAACCATACTATGCAGCTTATCAGCCATCGTCCCTGATTACAGAGCAGGTATACAAGCAAGCAAATGTGGAATATCGGCCGATGGCTGTAGCAATTGGAATGAAACAGTTATAGGCCTGACTTTCCACTGTATCTGAGCTTCATACAATATTCACAGCCTCATACAGTATTAAGAGTTGCTGGTGCTACATAAAAAAAAAATGGAAAAAAAATGTTCTGTATGGACTTGGGGTTGCTTTAAATAGCAGATCCTCATTGTTTCTCAGTGGCGTCCTGCTGTTTTCTCTCTTTGCTGCTTTATTAGCAGGAAGAGTTGCACAAAAATAGGATCCTATTACCCCAATACTTCACACTTTTTATTTTTCAAGTGCCTTGCCATGCATTCATTTTCACCATGCATTCATAAAGACGTTAAGTGTTATCAATGGCCTCATTTCTTTTCTTTTTTTCTTTTTCACATTTTTCCAGTGGAGAATACTGCACTGCAGATAAGCTAAAAGCTTTCAAAAAAAAAAAAAAAATCACAGCTTGACTTTAAGAAATATTTCTGACTTCGTACGTATCCCTGTGAGTTCTCAGGAAGCCACTCTTTTTGCTGTTTCTTCATCTAATTCCAAATAGAATAATAGGATTTCCTTTCTCATTTCCTTTTGTCATAATAAGCTCTTTTAATATTTGTTGTTTGTGGGAAGTATTTGGTATATATAATATGCTGCAAGTGATCCTTGAGCAAGGAAGAATCTTTTTTTTAAAAAAATTGTAAACCTATTTGATTTGAAACAGCAAAAAATTGTGGAAGTTAGCATCCTTTGATCAACCAGCCTTCTATTTTGCTCTTATTGTATCTCTGCTAGAACATGTTTCTTAACAAAGCCTAACCTTTCATAACCTGACCTTTCACGAAACAGGTAAGTAAAAGGGGAATTACCTGATAGTACATGATAAGGTAATTGGAGATCCCTTTCTTTTTTTAAAGGTTATTCCGGTAAAACCTGTCTTTTTTCTTAGACAGAAAATGACATTATCTTTTCTCCTACAGATGTTTAAAATCTCAGTTAACATTTTTCCTAAGTAGCCTGGGCAAGGGGTTCTTGGAGATGTAGTTCAGAAATTCTGGAGTAACTCACCTTTACTTGATTTTGATATACATCCTGATATCCAGGTGAGAAATATTATTAACCCCATGTTTGTGCTCTCCTTGTCTCTGACATCTACAGCCATGCTGTCTTTCAGCCTGTTCTAAATTTCCTTGGGGGCTGTTTTTATCTCAACCTTTCCTTGGAAAGTACCCCCATAAAGTGCTGGCATACAACTTCAGCCATCAATAGACACAGAAAGATAAACTACATTTACACACCATTCAAAAGAGATAATAAAAAAGCTAAGGAAGAAACAACAACCAGAACAGATTTTGTCCAGCAACCAATATCCAGAGAAGCGGGGATTAACACCAGACAAACTATCATGGAAAATACCCTAATCAAGGTACTACCAAAAAAGAAAACCACACTCCACCAGCATTGGCAGGGCAGAAAAAGGAGCAAACCCCACACTCACCAGCACTGAAGGTGTGACCTATTCAGGTAGAGAAACATCTGCAAACAAGCGACCAAGCTCAAAGAACAGCAAGGACTCCACGGTTCAACCCTGCGCTACAAATATTCTCTTCTATTGCAGTACAACTTCCCCAGACTAGACGCTCTATATTCCAAAAGCTTGCAAAAGCATTGGGTTAGAGACGTCTAGTCTTCCTGATATGAATTTTCATCAGAAAGTTATTTCCAGGATGGAATGCTGAGCATCTTGGGACATATAAATAAACATTGCAACCGATGGAAACCTTTTTTTTTTTTTTTGGTATCACAAGTAGACTTTGTTTTTCCATGCTGATGGCTGAGTCAGAAAGCAAGACTCGACCAACTGAGGGGTAGTTCTAAGATGCCACAGATAGTTTGGCAAGAGGAAAAGAGAGGCTAACATTCCTGGAGGCTACCTGTTGTGGGAAGAGTTAGACCGGGAGGCCAAAAAGAGAGATCTCGAAACAACATTTCTATAGATTACAAAACGAACCTTGTTCTTCCCAACAGCTGATTTGATGCTGTTGGCGGCTGTGTGCTCCTACAGAATTATCTTCTCTATTCCCTGGTATTAGAAGAGAGCTCAGGTCTTATGACTTGGCATATTTTTTTTATTAAAAGTTTTACAAATTTCATACAATATAAACCCCTCCCCCCCTTCCCAGAGCTGATTACAGCGTAACAAATAAACAAACATAATCTAACTAACATTAACCAATTATACTATCAATCAAAACCATAACACACTTTAACTCCTTTTCAAAACAAATGTTAACAAATTATAAACTCAAATAACAATATAATTAAAACTTTTAATATTTATCTAAAATCTACTCATATGCAAGAATACTTTTCAGTTTCATATCTTTTTTGAATGTAATCAATCCATCTTCTCCAAACCATAATATATTTTTCTTGTGAATGGTCCTTTAAATAGGCGGAGAGATGACTTGGCATAATTTTACGTAGACAGAGTTTCAGCGCCTGGGATATCAGCCCAGAATTGTCTGTTTGAAGAACACTAATTACATTTTTTTTTTTAATCCAGTCCTTTCTGGCAACTGTAAACAATGTAGCATGGGAGGCATAAGGCCCTGGGGAAACAGAATTACTAGAAGTGTGTCTTGTGGAGCAATCGTTACTCAGTCTTTGCATCATGTTTGTTTGCGCCCTCTGTTGTCTTGCTTCTACACCCCTGCAATTGCCCTCTTGTTCACACCAAAACCATCTGAGAAGTTTAGAGGCACTAGAATGCTTTGGAAAGAAGGAAGCCGGGAAATGTACAACAGGAAATGTACTACTTCAGTCGGGAAATGTAGTAATCTAAGTAATCTAAGAGGTACCGTGTCAACCTAAGGGACACCTATTTCTCCTATAGCAAGGAGAGTTGAAGTCCATAAGTCTTAAAGGTTGTGAGGGTTGGACAGCCCTGTCCTATAGGATGTTGCATCTATGAAGATGGCGACCTTCCTGATCGTTACACAAGAACTTACACGATTTCATATTTTTGCAGCTTTCTCTTCATATTTTGAAAAATGACTGTAGTCAGCCACAATCCGGACCTTCAGCTAGAAACTCTACAAAATGGACATGGTGCTTTATGGATTTTGCTGTAACCTGACATTCTCCAAATGAGTTGGAACTACAATTCTCAAATTTCTTAGTCTCTGTGGCTAGTTCTGAGAATTGCAGCCTAAAGCTGGTGGCTGCTTGGTCAAAGAAAAGCAGATTTAGACTTTAGTGTTCTGAGAAAGCACTTTCCAAAGATGTGAGTTACCTTGAGAGCTGGGGTCAATGGTAATTGTAGTCCAGCATTTCTAAAGAGATCATATTGAAGATTGCTCAGAAATTAAATCTACCAATTCCCTGACTGGTTGAATCTTAGATCAAGGCCTTCTTCATTAAACCAATTTTAAGCCGTGATTTATTAAATTAGCACAAGAGATTCAATCAGATGCTAAGAGATTCACACAAAACACTAGCCCTTTACAAACATTGAAATCATGGCCATTTTATGCTTACCAAAGAACTTTTTGTCAAAAGCAATCAATAATAAAATGTTGTAAGCAACAATGTTTACATATAATATGAAATATGCACTACTGGTAGCGGTATTATATTCTGTGTAAGCTAACAAGAGCCTTTTGGTTGCAGGAAAATGAAAAATGAATGAATGAATAAATAAGAAAGAAACAGAATTTTCACTCCACTGTCTGCTAATAGACAGGACAATAGATCATTAATTTGATGTTAGGCGCCTGGTTTTTAAACATATAAGTAGTCCTAGACTTACAATCATTTGTTTAGTGACCATTCAAAGTTACAATAACACTGAAAAAAATGAATTATAAATGGTCCTCACACTTATGACCATCGCAGAATCCCTGTGGTCACATGATCAAAATTCAGGTACTTTACACCTGGCCTGTATTTATGACAGTTACAGCATCCTGGGGTAACCATTTGAGATCTTCCCCAGCCAGCTTCCAATAAGCAAAGACAATTGGGGGGGGGGAGCTGAATTCACTTAATGGCCACATGATTGACTTAAGGACTGCAGTGATTTGCTTGACAACTGTGGCCAAAAGGTCATAAAATCAGATGCTACTCGCTTAATAACTGCCTTCCTTATCAACAGAAATTCTCGCCCCAGTTTGTGGTTGTAAGTCAAAGACTATCTGTATGGGGGAACAATTCACTACCTTGTTCCCAGACATCTAGAGAACATCGTAAGAATAAACTGGAACAAACAATAAAGAACAGGAAGACAATAACAGAATGAGCGACGGATCATTTAGTCCAGCTTTCTAGCCGAAGCAGAAAACTGAATCCTGAAACTTTCCAACAAAAAAGGTCAAAGCAATCCCAGGGACAAAAAAAGAAGATGGGATCTTCTTTGTGACGGTGAGCATCTGTTGGGAAATATCCAAAATTTAAAACAGTCTCCCATAAGCCAAGGTCTTCCAGACCCATCACACTACAACCCCTATGATACCCATCAGCATCAACAACTCCTCCCTTATAACGGAGGATGCAAATATTCCAAAGAAGGAACACCTTTCCAGTATTCTAGTTTGAACACTGCTTCAAATTGTGCGCTTCACCATACAAAAAAAAAAGAAGAAGAAGAAAAAGAGCATGCCTCAGGTAGCTATAATTCTTACAATTTCTGTTTTCTTACAAGGGGAAGCCCCAAGAGATTTGCTGCGAAAGCCACAGGCGTTACCTGTACGACAGTGCTCCGAGGCACGGACAATGCCTCTTTCTCTCTTCTGGATCTGTCTCTGGGAATCTGAGGCCCAAGCTCCAAGATCTTGGAAGTTCTAACTGGTGTGAGCAGGCTAGTGTAATTTATAAGTGTTCCACTCACCCATGTGATCTGAGCAGATGCCATAAGGCTGAGAATTTTTTTTTTCCCAGGAGATGAGAAGGAAAAAAAATGGCTGGGAACTAAAACCTGTTCAACCACACTTGTGGCTTATGCTCAGTAGAAAGGAATTTTCCACTAATAGGAGTACACATGTGTTTACAAACTGCCCGGCTGTCTGAATAGGCGATGGCAGACAGGATTCAAGATTAGGCAGAAACACGAGGAACAGTTCCACTTCGTTATGTGTAAATGTTCAACGCAGCTTCCTGAGCGCTTCTATTTCCACTAAAGAATATATTTTTGGTGCTCACCGATCTGGACTCAAAAGCTGAAAAGGCAACAGTTCTCAGGGTGTTCTTTGTATCCAATGGACGGTACAAGAAAAGTGCAATTCTTCCCATATTTTGCTTTAGGCCAAATGGGAAATGTTGTCACGCATATCATGTGCACAGTTTTAATATACAATTTTTCCTCCACGCAGTGCAGATTTGTATCCTTTCTTAGCATAAGGTTTATGGATAGCCCTTGACTTATATCCATTCATTTAGAAACCGTTCAAAGTTACAACAGCACTGAAAAAAATGACTTATAACCAGTCCTCGCACTTACGACCATCACAGCATCTCCATAGTTGCATGATCAAAATTTGGGGCATTTGATTTACAATGGTTGCAGCATCCTGGGGTCATTTGATTGCCATTTATGACCTTCTCAGCTGTGTCTGATAAGCAGTCAAAGGGGAAAAGCCTTAAAGAAAATGTGTTTAACAGTGGTGGTGATTTCCTTAACAACCATGGCGAAAAAGATCAAAAAAATCAAGTGTGATTCAGTTAACAACTGCCTTGCTTAGCAATGAAAATTTGAGTCCCAATTGTGTTTGTAAACTGAGGACGACCTTCGGCATTCCACACTTGGAATGCTGCATCCAATTTTGGTCACCATAATGTAAAAAAAGATGCTGAGACGCTAGAAAGACTGCAGAGAAGAGCAACAAAGATGATCAGGAGACTGGAAGCTAAAACATATAAGGAACGGTTGCTGGAATTGGGTATGTCTAGTTTAACGAAGAGAAGGACGAGGGGGGACATGATAGCAGTGTTCCAATATTTGAGGGGCTGCCACAAAGAAGGGGGGGTTAAAGAAGAGATTGGACAACCATTTGTCTGAAATAATTTTAAAAAATACTAGAATGTGCGGAAATGGACAGACTCACTTTGAGTTGAAAGAAAAAGAAGAAACAGAACACTATCTGACTCGGGACTTATTTTATCAATGGCTGGAGATAAAAAAGAAAGGATTAGGAATTAAATTTGTAATTAGCAAATGATAAACTCAGACAATATGTTGTTGAATAAGTACTATGGAACTGTATGAAAAAAATTAATGAAAATTTTACAAAAGGAAGGAAGGAAGGAAGGAAGGGAGGGAGGGAGGGAGGGAGGAAGGAAGGAAGGAAGGAAGGAAGAAAGGTGGGGAGTAAGTGTTGCTCTCCAACCACTCCTTGCTTTCTAACATCCTCACCCTTTACAACTGGCGTAACTGATAGAGAAAGGCCAGTGGGGATGGCTGATGGTTCTCTAAACAAAAGAGCCAGAAGCTGGGTGGGTTGTGATGTCCTGTCTTGTTTTGTCTCATCTTACCTTGTTATGTCTTTCCTTTCCTCACCCTCCCCCATTGAATCCTCAAATCAGGATCACCTCCAGAATAAACCAGAGGATTACAAATGCACGGCCCGCCTGGGTCTAGGAACTTATTGTTTTGTATTCAGGCACACAGGTGCTCGGGAGGCAAAGGCATGTAATTACGCCCTGGGAAAGATGGGGAAACAGCCAAGGAAAGGTGATCGTGACTCAGTGGGAACTCAAAGCTAACCATCTCTCAAAGTGACTAGGGACATGGAAGAGCGGGTGGAGTGATTCAATGGGAACCCAAAGAGCTAGCCAAAGGCCAGGTACTGGAAGGAGAGGGATGACTCATGCGACATGTTGAAAGCAAGTGCTAATGAACGATTGGTATGTCGGCATGCAGTGGGAAAAGATCCTCAAGGCTGCTGTATCGAAAGGGCCAGGAGCAGCCTGGATCAAGGGATGGAAACCAATCAAGGAAAAAAGCAACCTAGAACTAAGGAGAAACTTCCTGACAGTTAGAACAATTAACCAGTGGAACGACCTGCCTCCAGAAGCTGTGAATGCTCCAACACTGGAAGTTTTTAAGAAGAGACTGGACAGCCATTGGTCTGAAATGGTATAGGGTTTCCTGCCTGAGCAGGGGGTTAAACTATTATTATTATTGTTGTTGTTGTTGTTCTGCACAGAGAACCTTCTTCTCATTTGTTTCCCTTTTCTCATTTGCTTTCTGCCAGGGAAGATGTTGGCTAATTTGCTTCTTTAAGCATCGCTGGCTTCGGCGCATCTTTGCCTCTGCACCTCTCACCGATCTTGAGTGACGGGTTACCAAAGTCCAGGTGGTCCTCGACGTACGACCACAACTGAGCCCAGAATTTATGTTGCTAAGTGAGAACTTGGTTAAGTGAGCCTGGGCCCCATTTTACGACTTTTCTGGCCACTTTTAGTTGTTAAAATTGGTAACCCGGTTGTTTAAATGAAGCTGGCCTCCCCATTGACTTGGCTGGTCAGAAGGTCGCAAAAGGAGATCATGGGACCCTGGGACACTGCGACCGTCATAAAGGTGAGTCAGTTTTTCAAGCAGCCAAGTTTAAATCACATGATTGAATGCAATGGTCCTAAGTGTGAAAAATGTTCATAAGTCACTTTTTTTTCAACTTCAAATGGTCACGAAGCAAACGGTTGTAAGCCGAGGACTGCGTGTACACCAGAGAGAGCACAGGGGGAGGACCCTTGGTTTGAAAGAGCTGCAAAAGAGGCCATCTGTGTTAGAATTGAACACCCCTCCCTCCACAGAGGGGGAGGGATAAGACGCCACCTATCTCCTGTCTGCAACACAACCCTTTCAGCAGTTCCAAGGAGATTCCACAACCAATTGCATCCCGATTCAGATGACCCTGAGGGCCCAGATAAACCCCCAAGTGGCCTCAACGTCTCTCAGAGAGAATACTAATGATCAGATGGCTGCAAAGAAATATCATCCTTCCATTCTCCCTCTCTCTCTCCCCCCCAACCCCGTCCATCCTGTCAGAACTAATCCTTGCACCCATCGCCATCCAGCCAGAACCGATGAAGCTTCTCGGATGATCTTCAAGGAAAAACAAAGACAGCCCAGTTGCACCTTTAGGGGTGCCATGATCTGGATGGCTGGGCATCTCCACAGACAAGAGAATGCTTATTTCCTGAGATCCAGATGGCAAGGTCATCCGAGAGAAGCAATTACTGTCCCCTGGCTTGAGAGATGAAAAACAGAAACGTAATTTTGTAGCGGGCAAAGATTTATCCCTAACGGTGGAGTGCAGTTATGCCAAGATGAGACTGCCTCTTTCATTGTTTTGATTTTCTTATGGAACCCTGGGTGGGTTTTATTATTGATTGCTTTACTTAACGATTTCAGGGGAAGGCTGTTTTTTTTTAATTCTTCCTGCATTTGCATGATTCCAAGTTTCCTTTTGTTGGAATATGCTTAAAGAGTACATAGCCAGTGATAAGTGAGCAGAAATAATGCCATTGTGTAAAAATGGGTCGGTTATGATCCTAAGTCAAGGACTGCCTGTTCCTGGATTTACACATCTCCGGGGTTGCTTAATCCTGATGTATTAAATAAGTGAAAATAGTTGGGTTCCCACAGTGTGCTGAACTCAGCATTGTATACCAACGTAGTCACAATCTGGGTTACACATCATCCCACACTACTGTCTGTTTAACTAGGGGGTTGGAATAAGCCACAATTGGGTTTACTTCCTGTTGTATGACAAGGCATAAATTATATTAAAAAAAAAATCCAAATCATGCACCTTTGAGTCAAAACCAAATCAACCCTATTGCAGCTTTGTGCAAATTCTGCATCCGAGTTGCTCTGTCTCCACCCTCGCACAAATGTTATCTATGTAAACAATGGACCTCCATTGATTTTCAGTCATTTCATGGGCCTTTAGCCCTAAACAAAATGCCACAAATGGTTGTTTAGACTCTAAGCTTCTTTAGCATTATTTATCTGTAATTTAGTAGAAAAGGGGAGGAAGAGAGGGGGAGAGAGAGGCAGAGAGGGAGAGGGGGGAGAGAGCGGGGGAGAGGGGGAGGGGAGAGGAGAGGGAATGGAAGGGGAGGAGAGGGGAGAAGAGAGGAGAGGGGCGAGGGAAGAGGAGAGGGCAGGAGAGGGGAGATGAGAGGGCAGGGGAAAGGAGAAGGAAGGGGAGAGGAGAGGAGAGGAGAGGAGAGGAGAGGAGAGGAGAGGAGAAGAGAGGAGAGGAGAGGAGAGGAGAGGAGAGGAAAGGGAGGGGAGGAGAGGGGCGAGGGAAGAGGAGAGGGCAGGGGAGGGGAGACGAGAGGGCAGGGGAAAGGAGAAGGAAGGGGAGAGGAGAGGAGAAGAGGAGAGGACAGGAGAGAGGGGTGAGGGGAGAGGAGAGGAAAAGGGAGGAGAGGGCAGGGGAGGACAGAGGAGAGGAGAGGGGAGAGGGGAGAGGGGAGAGGGAAGAGGAGAGAAAACGGGGGGAGAGAGCAGGGGAGAGGAAAGGAGAGCCAGTTTGGTCTAGTGGTTAAGGCACGAAGCTAGAAAGTGGAAGACCATGAGTTCAAGTCCTGTCTTAGCCAGGAAAGCCAGCTGGGTGACTTTGGAGCAATCACTCTCTCTTAGTCTCACTCACTTCACAGGGCTGTTGTTATGGGAGAAAATAGGAGTAGGGGGGAGTTGTATTGAGTTATTTGTAAAAATAACAAATGCAGAATACAAACAAACCCAAGGCCCAAAAATGAGACAATGTCACGCTCTCTGATCTTTTTTATAATAATATTGCAAATTAAACATAACCAAGAAGGACGGTATAGACTAGATTACACTTAGCATCATAGGACAAAGAAGTGTTGAAAAGTTTGAATAA